AACGGTTCAACTTTGGAAATTATCATATAGACAATGGACCCGGGACTAGGTGTGTTCCAATAAGTCTTCCTACCAATATGACCATGTTGCGAAAACAAGGTCAAACAACTTCTTCTTTTGTGTTGACAGACTGGGGAAAAATGCTGTCTCTTCTTTTTTTATCAATTGGATATTCCACTTTCTCAATGACCTTTGAAATTGTTGACAAAGTTGAGAGGAGGGAATAAAATTCCCTTTTTGCTCATCCTCTATATTTGTGAGTTTGTTTCAATAATATACAAATAGAAATCTGCTCTTGTTGACCACTATCTTTCTTTCTATGCATTTTCTGAGGTACCAACTCTTAGTGCAAATTCCAGTTACTTTGTTCAACTCCTCGTCTCAGGATTCAAAGTCCCTGAGTTGTAAGCTTCTGATGATAAAACTCTTCATTATCACGATCTTAAATATGTAATTGTGATGAAACTGAAAATTAAGGATCATTCCCGTATGCGATTTCTTCCTTGAGTGTTCCGTTTGGGCGAATGACCTCAGCATCCAGAAATGGTAGTCACTTATTGTCCTCCACCTCTCTTGTAAATTTAGTTCTTTCATCAAGTTGGCTTATAAAAGTTGATCGACCTTGTTTTCACAACTTGGTCCTATTGGTAACAAGATCTAGAGTAATGCAACTTGTCCGGAGTCTATAGTATGTATGATAATGTCTAGTATCGGATCGTGGACGTGGTAAATTCGCAGACGTTTCGCCGTCATCGTGGTCGACATCATCAGTGAGCCTTGCCATTCTTAGCATTACACTATAACTCGTCAAAGACATCGCTTGTCACTTTGACGAGTTGTAGTGTGATGCACAGAATGGCAAGGCTCACTGACGATGCCGACGAAACGTCTGGAAATGTACAAAGTACACGATCCGACTATGGAAATTATCCTGCATGCTATGGACTTCGGACAAGGTGCGTTCCTCTATGTCTTCCTACCAATATGTCCAATTTGCGAAAGCAAGTTCAAACAACTTCTATATAACGAAAGGATACCACCACCATACGAAAGTCTACACACTATCCTGCTCTTCATATCTTTGGCTTATACAGTTGAGGAATTCACTTAAACTTTCCTTTAGATGCGACTAAAATTTAATGTAATCAACCAAGTAGTCCATAAATACTCTTAGTTGCAGCCGCGATTTCTCAAATTCCCTCTCCAATTTGTCCATGTTTACATTTTTCTTAAGAGGTGAGGTTTGCCATCCCATCGGCAGTCCGAATATTTGCTCTTTTATATTGCCGTTGAAGTTAAAATGGGTGGTCCTTATTGTCATTTTGATCAGGCGATTACTTACTCTTATCATATTCGCTCCTTCCCAAGGATATCCTCTTCTCACTCCAAGAACTTCAGTAGGGCGTCACTGCCTTCTCACATGAGAGGTTTGTGTACATGGATTATACATCAAAATTTACTAACATTTCCGTCCTTGTCAGTCCAATATTTTGAAGCATTTGAGAAAATTCTATGAATTCTTCAGATTGTTCAAAATTTTGTCGTTTCCTTTCTTGAGATTTAAGAATATAAATTTCACTAGTTGGCATGTTGCTCCATAATTTTTAATGACTATTAACATCAATGGTCTTCCTATAATGTGGAGTTTCATTATTCCATAGATTGTTGGTGGTCTTGTTTCATTTATAATTAAAGAATTTATCATCCATCTCTCGATTTCTCCGTTGCTATGTCTTTCCTTTAGCACATCCTTCAGTATTTGCTTTTTCTTAATTGCGGCTACTTTCTTAGTATTTACTGTTTCCTGTCCACCACCAGCATCGCTTCTCCACTATCCGCCTAAAGAACTATTTGGATATTCCTTTGTAGTTTTCTACAAACCATCATCAATCCACTCCTGTTTGTTGGCTTTTGATGAGCCTGGATTCTTGGGATTCATTCAATTCCCATCTTCCGTCTGGTCTCTTCTGGATATTTCTCCGAGAGGTTAACAACTCCTTAAGAATAGCTTATAAATTCATTCTTTGCTTTAAACTAGAATATTTAACCCCTCATTCGGGAGATCCATAGTTTTCGAATCAAGACGGGCTTAGAATAAGTTCACTATCTTATCCATATGGGTACCTCATCTTGTTCTCTCCTACTCTGCCTCTCCCCCTCCCTCTCCCGCTCCCTAAGTTTGTCCTATAATTGTTGCTTAATCATATACACTCAATCCCCGTATTCAAGATTTTACCTGCGAGGCAGGTTTATGAATCCAGTTCACCCGCCTTTTCAAAGGAAATCAAAGTTACTCTAAATTAGCATATCAAAGGAGTCCTTATATCATAGCTTCTTCAAATATCCAAACTAAAATAAATCAAAATTAAGGGTTATGACTCAGGCCTTCCGTCTGAGAGTGTGTTTGAGCTACGAATAGCTTTACTCCGTAAAAATCGCTATCTGTGTAGCAGCAACTACCTCCTAGTTGTTCCTAGCTTCTAGTCCTGTGACTACGAGGAAAAGCTGGCTTTCGTGGGTGGGGTCATTGGTGTACTTTTTAGTAAAGTATGCTTTCTCGCTCTGACTATGTCTGTCACGACATGGCACAGCTTCACCGTGAACCGAGGACTTCTTCGCACACTCCATAAATCTTCACTCAAATTGGTTTCAGCTGAGAATAATTCATGAACTCCTTCCAGCCAACTTTTCAAAGAAAAGGAAAAATCAAG